ATTTCCCGAGCGACCTTTCAACTACCCTTCGAAAGGGTTGAAAATTTGAACCTTAACGCTGGTAGGCTACCTTAACCCTTTTTTTAAAAATTTCAATCTCGAACATAGAAAGTTGTCTGGCTATTTCACCAGAATGTTGGTCCTTTTCTTCTCGCGTAGATACGTTCGATCGGAAGGCTGCCCTTCGAAAGGGTAGGAAGTTCCAGCGCCGAGGTACCTCACTGACAAATATGCGTGTTAATCGATGTACGAAGAGGTTGATGGTGTACGTGGAACGCACACCGGCTCGCTGATCATTGTTCATTGTATTGCCATGCTCGCAGGACATGGCGTCCTGCCATTCGAGCTGCTTTTTGTCGGGACCAGCTGAGTCAAAATGGCCTCCGGCCTGTGACGTCACGATTTCACGTGCTCCACACGCAATAGGTATACGCATCGATCCCGGCTACGAGCCGACAGCTTGGCCAATGAAAGGATAACGAGGCTGAGAATGCTTTCGAAAATTCTCCTTCCCTCTGGAAACCTTTCCGGCAACAGGAAAATTCTGCCTCGGCCACGACCAATCACCGACGGAATACCGTGAAGCTAATGACCTCTATTCAGCGGTGAAGGTGTTATTTAAAAAAAAAAAAAAAAAGAAAAAAAATTAAAAAACGGAAGAAGAAATAGCGAAATGCTTTTGACTCGTTCAAAGCCCGTTAGAACCACTATATTCATCGTGCAAGAACGCGTAACGGGTTGCTATTTAAAAAATAAGCGTCCTTTCACTGACTCAAACTTTCAACGCCATTCAATTGCCGAGGATGAATTTAACCGGTTATTAGAAAGGGTTTCATTTTGCCCGGCCATAATTGCGTTCCGAATGTAAAGTAGCGCTAGAGAGAAATTCAAAGTATGTAGAACGCTTTGAACGGGGCGCTCTAAATGCGGCACGTTGCTTCTTCAGCATCCTCGACGGGAAGATATTCAGAGCACAGGCTGGTTTGATCACCGAAGAAGAATCTATCGATCAATCGTTAGGAGAAATCACGGATATGTTGGATAGATGAAAATACAGGATGTATTAGACTGGCTAATAATAGGGTAACGTACAGTCATTGATTTCTATATAATTTTTCCTAAATAAGCAGAAAATATAGTAAATGTATTTCTTACAAATTAAACTATAATTCTATTTAAATAGACAGTGCAAAATTTTAAAAATGAAAGTAATATAAAGTACGGAATTAGGAGTCTCTCCATGGTCCGCCATCCGAGAATTAAGATATACATTATATCATATTTCTTACTCTTTTAGAAAAAGGGTCATCGTTGCATTATCCTATTTGTTTTCGAAATATTTAGCTTTTGAACTTTCACCTTAAATTCTTAATAGCTATTCAATTTGTACGATACAGCAACCTAATGACACAAAGAGTTCAACTTGCAAATTGAATTTTTTAAAAATTTCTTTCAGCCAGTTAAATCTTAAGCCCCGATTAAGATACATTCTGCCGGTCGGCCCGTGCACCGGTTGAATAGCTAAGGCAATCCGGAGTGTCCTTCTGCGGAAAAGTCGTAAAGCGAAATTCTTCGTCGGTATTAAACTGTTTCTAAGGTATCCCTTTTCGCGTACACCCGTTTCATGTTATTACGGTGCTAATGAGCTCCAGCTAGTAATCAAAGCATATGTTTCGTGACACGAGTGAAAACCGTTTGAAGGCTTTTCCTTTATGTCCGTTTGGCCTTCGCTCGTTGCACCCCGGCTTCTCTTCGCCTACTATTTTCGTGGCCGCGGGTTAAACTTCGTTTCGCGTAAAACGCCATCGTCATCCGCACTCTCGATCGAAGAAACCGTGCCACGAAACGTTTTTCTTTTATCATCCTCATCGACGGAATATTCGAGGCAAATTATATTTCCTTCGCGGATCACCGTCCGCCTATCCGTTGCCAGCTTTTCTATCATTATTATTATGTTCGTTTTACCTTTTCTTTTTCTTTTTCTGTTTTCATCACAATTCATTCCCCGTGTTTACCCTGCACCCACTGGTACAGGTTCGCGCAGACAAACCGCTGCTCCAGGCACTGACTGTTACTAATTAAGGGCGGTTTCAGTACGCGTGTTAATTCTTAATTAATATCTTTGTTGCCTCCTCCGACGTGGCAGCCCTCGGCACCCATTTCTCGCTCGTTCGTTCTCCATCCCTGTTTCACCGTTCGCCCAACTTCTTCTATCCACTTGCACCTTCGTTTTTCTCGTTTTCCTTCTCCCTTTCTCCCGTTTTCCATGCCGCGTGTTCAACCGACGACCCTCTTTGTCTATCCTCGGCGACACCCCAACGAGCACCGTCCACCCACTTCTCTTCTCGAGTCTCTCGAATGAAAGGAGATGTATGGGAACACACGCGCATCTCGAGCCACTATGATAGGTACAATCGGTCACGAGTGACGAAAGGAGAAAAAGCAAGAAAGAAGCGCGGAGTTACCGCGGGCCCGTTCCTCCGATTTATACCGTTCAACCGTTTCCAACCCGGACAGAGAGAGAGAGAAAGAGAGAGAAAGAGAGAGAGAAATATCTCTTTCGCGACGAATCGAGGAATCGTTGGTTAACCCCTTTGTCAGAGTTAACCCTCGCTCCTCTCCTCTTCTCTCTCGAACAATCCCTCCCGAGGATCTAAATTGTTTTCTTCGCTTTTCTTTGCTCTTCTTCAACGAGCAACGACAATTATTAGATATTAAAACACTTTATCATTCGAAACAGCAGTCTGACAGAATTGAAAGCATTTGCATAAGGATTCATCCCCCTTCTTTCTCCCCGTCGACCTGTCTTAGGTACTTCTTCTCGGGAAAGAAATTTCCAACGAGCGATGAAATCGATACTACGGGAAATAAGATGATTGGATTGGACACTGGGGATAGCTTCTGACGGCTGGAGGATTCAAGAAGCTCGATAGATTGCTAGCAGCTCGAAAAGTAGACTTTTATATAACGCAATTTTAATTCTAATCATAAAAGGCACTATCGGCAGCTATTTATTTTGCAATTTCTTTTGGAAACTAATTTGCTCGTTCTTTCTTCAAATTTCTCTGAATCTTCCTGAATAATATGGCGTATCACAGGAAAGACTGTTTCCCGTTTACCGGCAGTCCTTATACGACTCCCTATGTATAATTGACATCACGTCAGCCAGTAAACCGGGTCTGAAAGAAAAGTAGGTGGCCTTCTGGTGGAAAACAGGTCCTCCAACGGAAAAGACTCCCTCGCTCCGTGTTTCGTCGCGTCTCCAATTTTCTAACCGTCTTTTCTGAGCGTTGCCAGTGGCAGCCCCGGGGCCGTTCCAGCTCTCCTTTTACCACCCAGAATCCTCCGGTATTTTCCTTTGCCAGCAAATTGGACTATTACCGTAGCAGCTACCGTACCTCTGCGGCGTGTCCTCGCGAAAACCGCGTATTTTCTCCCTACCTTTGCTACCCTCGTCCTTCGCCCTCCACCGTCCCACCCTTTTTCACCTCTCTCTAGCTTCGCTCAAAGTGGCGCACAGTTGTTAAAACAACCAATTCTGTCGGAAAGCTGCTCGTTAAGGACGCCTCTCGTCTCGTCCTTGCGGAATCCTTCGTAATCCTGATGGCAAACCGTTTCGTCTGCCTGCTGACGCAACGAAAACGACGGCCAATATAAAAATCTCTGTCTTACACTTTGGTAACGATGCGCAGCATCAACACTTGCTTCCTTCCGGAAAAACGAAAGACGATATTTAGCGAAACTTGCTAATCAGGGAATAATTCGTTCGTTTTTGTCGAGAGATTATCTTCACTAGGAATTTTAGAGAATCGTAGTTGAAAGAACAGCAATTTAGAATTGAACGATAGGCGTGGAGGAAGACTCGAGTTTCGGTGGTAAGAAAGTCTCCCGTTACCGATTAGCGTTCGAATTGGGTAGGGTGTGGTCGGCACCCTCGATTTCTCGAAATATTTTGACAAGAAATTCAATATCGCCGTTCCAGAGAAATTATATACGATTGCTCGTACCTGAGCGTTCCCGTTTCCTTTCGCATTCTTGTTTATCATCGTTTTCTAAGACGCTTCCTTCTCACGTTAATTCTGATTCAATGGTTCCAACTCCCGGTCTGTTCATAATTTTTCAAACTTTCAAAAATAAAAATTCAATATCGCCTTGGGAAATCAAATTTACCGATGGATCATGGTAAAAATGATTCAGATGCAAAGGGTTCAAATTTCATTCGATTCTTCTGTTATAACGACAGACGAACCTTGGCCCATTAGATGCAAAGTTCAGCCACGGTAATCATTCTCGAGCTGTCGCCTCTTGTTTCGAACGACATCGGTTTGCGGGTCAGACGAGAGCCGCTTAATGGTTCGGAAAAATCGGAATCATAGCCAGTATGAATACGTAATCAGTTTTCCCGCTCGTCCTCCGCACCGCATGACGTCATTGTAAGAGTAATGTAGCTTTGTCACGACGATCATGAATCTCGTTTATGAATCCTAATGGGAATATGTGTTTTCATGAACCCCCGACGGTTTGTCTGTAATTTAAAAAGCAGAGTTCTAAATCGTGATCGCTGAATGGAAGATAGAAGAAGTTATAAGGGCACTTGCGAAAGAGGTACTCTCGTTCGAAGTCGATTTCCTCGAGAAATATTTTCAAATCGTCGCGGAAGCATAGAGAATCGAAAGTTCGTTCGCATTTTTCAAAAGTTCCAAGCATCGCTGAAGATGATCGCGTCGAAGAAGCCGAGCGAAAAACATCGTAACCTCTGCACGATAGTTTGCTCGTCTTTATCGATTCACCGTTTCCGCCTGGTGGAAAATGAACAGAACCGAATTTTCCTTACCCCTTGAAACTCGAGGAACTACTTCAACGTTATAGCTGGAAACGAGGTCCTATGCACAATTTAACACGACTGAATTTCAGAAATTCAGAGGAAAGCCACTCGCCAAGTAATTTCGAGCAAATCAAAATTTTTCCAACTGAAGGAAAATTTCAGATGAAATTCTTACCTGGACTGGCGTTTGGAAACGAGCTCTTCGACTGAGAGTATCCTGAAACACAAAATTACATGATTTCATTAAACGAACATAATGGGATGGTTAGATAATTACGAGCGTACAAATATTGTTAATTATTTGCGCAAATATTCGCGGCAATAATTATCTGTCGCGAATTGTAATTCCAGAAGCGAAAGATGTTGAATAAAAACAGGGTAAAAGAAGAAAAGAAGAGCGTTGGAATAAAGTGTATCGTTGGTAGAGAACGGAGCGAAATTTCATCTAAAAATGAAATAGAATTCTGTGAAATGTGGTTCGAAGGGGGTGGCATGCGGTGGCTGCCTCGACGCTCGACCCTGATTAACGACTCTGCGAAATTAACTCGACAATTATTTCATTAGCGCCTAGTAAGACATTTTTCATCCAGCTTCCAATGCTCTTTGGGATCGAGAACGAGGGAGAGAGCGAGAGAGAGAAAGAGACATGTACGTATTATACAACTGGTCTCGAATACGCTACCCTTAATGACTCGACGAGAATTAACTGTAATTTAATTAATTAAAATTTCATTAAAAAAAAAACAGCGTTCTCTTTCGCACGGGACCAGAGACATGACCTAGGTCACCTCGTTAGAATGATTATCGGAGGTGGTCGCATTTTTTCCCCTGGAAAATTAACTGGGAATCAATCTTCTTCGTTTCACCCGCGAACCAGATAAAATTCAACCTCATCGGAACTTTGATCCTTCTGGAATTAATTAACCTTTCCAAATAATTAGTCACACTCGTGATACCAATTACGAGCTGAATAAACACGAGTCGTATTTCTGTCACAGCGATGTTTGAAAAGTTCGGATTTCTAAAGGGCAACTAATTTAAAGGGAAAATTAGTGAAGAAAATGGGGAGGCAAAGGGGGAGTCTAAAATTTCTTGTTTCATCTTGGAACAAGAGAATATTTCGCTTCATCTCCGCTTCGATTCTTCGTCGAATCTGTTGCAGAGCAAAATAGTAGTCGAAAACGAACGAGAGTTACGAGCACCAATCTTGCTCGGGAAATCGTAAAATTTTAATTATTGCATTTCCATGATTTCCCGTTTAACGAGTGACGAGCCCCGCTCGTCGCTGCCATACAACAGCGATATATTCGTAATTGAAGGCAATTTTGAAAACCGCAGGATCCTTGCTAAGCGCAGACGTTCGTTCGCTGAAGTTTCACTCGTTAGTTCCGCCGTTCCGCTGGATTTAATTGCCCAACACGCGACAGAACAAATCCGCGCGCCCGTTAATCGCACACGGATTCTGAATCACTTTGTCGACACCTGCGGCTCTCTACATCAAACCTTTTTCCATTTCCTCAAACCATATATACAGATATTCTAGCATCGTTTGCGAGTAATACGACTCCTTTCAGAGCTCATCGCCCTTACGAAGGAAAATAAGTCCGTGTATTAAGACGTTTCACCACGGCCATTTTCTAATAAAGTCGTCCCTGTTGGTGCGGACGGTTCGCGGGGTTGAAAAACAGGGGTTGAAAAAGATTCTCGCGTTCCTAAGAAGGTTAGGGCTGGTTGCCGGTCGACGGAGCGATAAAGAGGAAGAGGGATGAAACAGCTGAGGGGTAAAACAGAGTGGAAAGGAGAAGTTGGCGTTTCAAGAACGACCAGCTAGAGTATATTCGGTTACGAGGCTCGATATAGGTTGTGCTGCTTCTGTAGTCGTGCACGGCCACCGGGGGCGGCAGAACTCCACCCTCAAACGACTTTAACGAGCCGCCGTCTTAAAATGGGGATGCCGAGCTTGCGCCGAGTTTGCGCGTTTGTTTGATAAATTAACCCAGAAAAGTATGCACCGTCGTTGGGAACACTTAACAAGCCTCCGGAGTAGCGGGCATGGGAAATGTAGAGCAGGAATTTGTTGATACTTCAATTGAATCGGTGATTTAACACCGTTAATTCTTAATGGATTAAATCTTTGACCGATTGAAGGTAAAAAGGAAATATATAGAATTGTTCATTTGACGGTTCGAAAAGCGTGTCACTAAGCGTTTCGTTCCGTTATTATTTCGTTTTTCCTTCACAAAAAATCCCGTGGCACGTCCTTACGGTGAAACTTAAACCGCAATCGCGTGCACGGCTGGAAGGTTTCGGATTTTTTGAAAAGCCGACAATAAGGCACGGCCCGCGCCAGCCTGGTGACAAGACAGGGGCCTTCCATTGAGAAAAATCCACTTCCTAGGTTTCGTGTTACCCGGCGTATTTTGACAGGATCTCATTGTCGTCCCGCGGCTAAGCCCTATTGACTCTATTATGGGCCTATTAGTATTATACTAGGATTTGTGGTTACTCCTTGAAAGACGTCCCTCTAGCCTCTTTCTTGCCGTAGAACCGAATGCTTAGCTCGCGTCGACCCATTCAGGACACGGCTCGAACGTGTCCTGGCTGTTCAACGCGTAATTTCCTTCGATCAAACCGAGCTGAGCCGAGTCAGCTCGTTTTCTCGATCCGTCACCTGGATTAGGCGAACGGAAACGTCTAACCTGATAACCAGCACGCGACGATTCATCCATCTTGCATAAAAATTTTCACTTTCCACCGATAATTTCAAGTACAAACGTAAAATTTCTTTTTCCCAGAAAATTTCGTTTCTTATCTTGGAATTGAAAATTATTCCATATTCGAGGACGCGGATTAACATTTTCCAGATAGGCCGGGATGACATTGGAATATGAAAACGGGTGAATTAGTCTTCGCGAACGTGACATCTCATTCTCGATAATTCGCGTAATAAGCAGCTTGGTAATCGTGGCCGGTAACCTCGGCGACAAATAATTACCAGCGTAAATGGCAAAAACGTAGGAGAGTATCGTTGATGAAAAGAGGGAAAAAAGAGAGAGAGTGATGGAAATAAACCTGGTCCTGAGATCCCAGGCAGTTGGTCGCGTCGAGAAAGACACCCTTAACGGTGGGACGGACAGAGATGGTACGTAGGCACGCACGCACTCGTGGCTTCGAAGAGGCTCGCCGAGAGAAGCGTATCCGGTAGGCAGCTTCATTTTCCGAGTCGCGCGAGAGAGCTGCTCGCGGAATGAGCTGCTACTTAGAGAGAACGGGTTGGAAACGCATTCACCGTCACGCAAATCAACGCCGTGTACACGCACGGACGCGTGTGCTAGCTTGTGTTCGCCGCGTGTTACCGTTGCCCATTCATACAACGGCGGGCAAGCAAGATTTTGCCCGCGACTCTAAAATCAGCAGAGCACCAGGCGCGAGAAAGCAGACATGATTGACGGGTAAAGGCGGATAGAGAAGGAGGGTGCTCAGGGTTCGACGGTGACGATGGAGAAAGAGGAAGGAAGAGAGAATGAGGGGGAGGGAAAACGGAGGACTACGGCGCGCGTGTGTCTGAGGCGTGAATTCATGTATGCTCGCGAAGCACTCTTCAGAGGGGACAATCGAGGTGTTGGACTGGAAATCCATACCAATTTGAGCGACTTACGGTCGTTCGCTTGAAAGCCCACTACCACCAGCGTTCTACACTCGCACAGGACGAACACCGATCCGAGAATCGTGTACGAGATCGTCGGTGTACACGCGCGCGTTTACGCACCCATCCAGCTTTAAACGCGAGACGATACGTTGAACGTTGACACACACAGACATACACTTTGTTTGTTCCTTTGCCGTTCCGTTTATTCCTCATTTCATGATTTTCAGGTCAACCGATCGGACTATCCGGAAGAGATTCTACTTCCTTTTTCTCATTGTAAAAGGGGTACGCGATGAAGGTTTAGCGTGTATACCTGAAGAGACCTTGGTCGAGGTAAAAGAGCTACTTGCCTACTTCCAAGGCGAGAGTGCGAAATTAGTATACGCGGAGCAAAAGAAACGTGATGCTGCATAGAATGGACTAGAGTTGTTGCTTCGACCCACTGACATATGAAAAATCTAATCTTGTAATTAGATTTCTATTCGCTTCCGTTTTTCGTAGAATTGTTAATTGTTAGCTGATAGTAATTTAATCGTCGATTTGCCTAATCAACAGGTAGAACCGTAGAAGCTTAACTATGTTCATTATTGTTTCAGTAGGATTCTACTAATTTGACATAGAATTCAATTGGAAGTGCTATTAATTCATCGATCGGTGATGATCATAATTACACTTAACTTCCCTTAATTTCTATCGGCATCGATCTACGCAACGATTATACGAACAACCAACATGATTCGACACGGCTAGCAAGTGGAAGTCAGTTGGATCGAGGGATCCGATCGTCGATAACTACAATTACACTAAATTTCCCTTAATTTTCATCGATCAAGCAACCGAGTGCCGACGAGAATCCACCAATTCGCAGCCACTAATTAGCGATCGTGTCGCTCGGCTCGGCCACGATTGGCAGAAACGTTGGCCGGAAACTCGACGGAATATCGAGCAGAAACTTGGAAGCGTTTGTACGCGCAAGCGAGTCACGATAATGGACATAGTTTGCCGGTAATGTCCGAGACTAATTCCCGTGTTATTTCATTAACGTCCCGCAGCTCCCGAGGGGTTAACACCAGCAGCCAACGTTGGTAGGAGCGTAACACTGCCGAAAGGGGCACGTATTAGGCGCGTGTCAAAGGGTGAAAATTTACGAGGTGAGCGTAGAGCAGGCGCGAAAAGGCCGATTGATAGCCGGCTACCACCTCTAAGTACTCTGTGCACAGACTTGAAATAATGCCGGCATGCTTACGTTACGATGAAACGTGCTGTGCTTTACACCGACCGGTTAGCGCGCATGACTTTGCCAGGAGGGTTGATCGATAGGCAGATTTATATTATCCGTTCCGAGCAAGCAGAGTTTCTATAAACGTTCGAATAAATATCTTTGGTAGCTTCTACTTTCGTTAACCTTTTTAAAGAGCCGGGAAATTTTCCTTAGAAATGATTTTATTTACACAAAATTAGAAGCAATATCTTCTGTGGCCTTTTCAAATTTATTGCTGGCTCCAAAGGGGGCCACTCCCCAATTGTGAGGGTAACGGCCAATGGTCAGAACCTTCAACATTTGTAAA